TTTAGGATACGCGAAACGAGAAGAAAAGATTTCTTTAATAGCTTCTGCATTAGCTAGTTCAATAGAAGCGCGGGATGAGAGTAGGGATATATTTGCTATAATATCTGTGTTGAATTGATTGAACACTAAAAAGAAATCAGCCTAGGTTAGAGAAGACGTCTTGCGCAAAATTCACCTTCCCATTTCCCCTCATAAAAATGTGTATGTCCCACTGAGATACCGCGTATAGCAGGTAATAGTCCTCCGATGATAGAATGCTGTGGAAGGAGGGTACGGTATCCAGGGAGATACCCAAATGATTTGATAACCCTCCTAAATTGGATGATGCGATGAACGAGGAAGGAAAATACGAGAGGGAGTAGGAGACGGAGGATTGTGGTTGTCAGCGGACCCATTATTGGCGACGTAGATGCTCGGAATGCTGAGACTCATATCGAAGCACAGACCGTACAACCGCTGACGGGCGTCGTAGTGTGTGTAGCATCGCGTCCAATGACCTGCATGTCACGTCAACTAAGCACCCGAGTAATGAACACAAGGCGTCAGCGATACGTAAGTACGTTCACCATAACTTTAATTGCGGCCTCTGCAGCGGCCGGTTTATTTTGAGTGAGCTGTGCATAACCCCAGGTCGAGGTATGCAGAGTATCGTTGTACGCAGTAATGGACCCCGGTTTTGAGCTCGAGGTCGCGTCAGAGGCCAAGGTAGTCCGACTTCCATATCCGGTATCCCCGGACCGAGACGCCCGTGAAAAATTTGGACGCGTTACAAACGCGTCCGAGTCGCTCTAAAACGAATCGATAACGGGATGACTTGATTACCGGCCTCCGAGTCCGCTAGTAATGGAATGTAGTCTGTGTACATCAGATTAGGTTATGATTGCAATGTACGAATAACGAGTAACAAGAACCCTGGTCTTAAAAGTAAAGAGAAATAAAGAAAAGCCCGATGGTCTGATTCGTGTAATTAACTCTGTTCCCTACCTCGCGTGGTTTCTTTTTATTCTTCCACCACGCCTGATTCCTTCTTTCTTCACCACCACCACCATCACCACCTAGACCAAAAACATGACCGACAAAGCCGCCAAACGCGCCAAATTCGAACAAGCATGGACTGTCATCCGTGACGAACTAGTCGACTATGCAAAAGCCAACAACATGCCCAAGGACGCTATCGAGTGGTTCTACAAGGTATACTTTATCGATTTCCCCCATACCACCATCGATCTCACCATTATCATTACCACCACTCTCTAGAACCTCGAATACAACGTCCCAGGCGGCAAACTCAACCGCGGCCTCTCCGTCATCGACACTGCCGAAATCATCAAAGGCCGTACTCTCACCTCGTCTGAATACCTCCAAGCCGCTGTCCTAGGATGGTCCGTCGAGCTCCTCCAAGCTTTCTTCCTCGTCTCCGACGACCTCATGGACTCTTCCATCACTCGTCGTGGTCAACCTTGTTATTACCGTGTTCCTGGGATTGGGTTGATTTCGATTAATGATGCGTTTATGCTCGAGGCGTCGATTTATTATCTTTTGAAGAAGCATTTCAGGGGAGAAAAGTATTATGTTGATATCTTGGATTTGTTCCACGAGACAACGTTCCAGACAGAGTTGGGGCAGTTGATTGATTTGATTAGTGCACCTGAGGACCATGTTGATTTGAACAAGTTTAGTTTGGAAAAGTGCGTTCTTTTCCTCCTCGAAAAGCTTATATATTAACACGTCCTCTAGACACTCCCTAATCGTAATCTACAAAACAGCCTTCTACTCCTTCTACCTCCCCGTCGCACTCTCCATGCTCATGTGCAACATCCCTTACACCTCCTCCTCCTCCCAAACCCCCCTCTCCAGCTCGCAAGGACCCATCTCCCACCCCCACTCAAAAGTCTCCCCCGCAATAACCGCAACCCTCTCTCAAAACCCAAACCTATCCACACCCTACCTCCACGCTCTCCAAATCCTCATTCCTCTGGGAGAGTACTTTCAAATCCAAGACGACTACCTCGATTTTTCAGGGGTGCCTTCGGAGATTGGGAAGGTAGGGACGGATATTGTGGATAACAAGTGTTCTTGGGTTGTTAATACCGCGTTGTCTATTGCTTCGCCGGAGCAACGGGCGTTGTTGGAGAAGGATTATGGGGTTAAGCCTACGAAGGAGGAGAAGGATGTTGCTGAGGCTCAGAGACAGAAAGCGAAGCAGGAAGGGAGGGAGGGTGAGGAGCAGGGGTATCTTGGTGAGGCGGAGAAACGCGTCAAGGTTCTTTTCGAAGAGATGGGTATTAGGAAGCTTTATAAGGAATACGAAGAGGGTGTCGTCAAGAGGTTGAATGAGATGATTCAGAGTGTACCAGAGCCCAAGGAGGGTGAGGAGGGTTTGAGGAGAGAGGTGTTTACGAGTTTCTTGAGCAAGATTTACGGGAGGAAAAAGTAGACTCTTTTTTGATTTTGTAGAATGTTAGATACACAAATATGTACATTTGAAAACCGGTACAAAGACTATGGTACATTTTGACGAGACAACAAGCAAGACGCACACACACACACAAGTTCAGATAGATAGGAAATGAAATAGGAATAACAAGAAGACCACTATTCTTTTCCAGCCCGTGTTTGCCGTTCACTCACGCAACACTTTCACCAACAGGCGCACTCTCCACAGGTGCAGCCGCCTCAACTGGTGGAGCACCCGGCTGGACAGTAGGAGCATCGACGGTAGCGTCAGCCATAACAACATCCCCTCCTCCTTCGACAGCAGCAGCAGCATCTCCTTCAGCAGTAGCACCACCACCAACATGCTCCTTGATAAAATCAAGTGCAATCTTGGGACTATCCCCAGCCTTGACAGGAACCTTTCTATCAATCAACTTGCCCGTTCCTTTTTCAAACACGAAATGACTCCTCTTGGTCTTGTTGCCCTTGTCTGCGGCGCCTAGAGCGGCGATGAGTGTTCGAGAGGGGTCGGAGAGGAGGGGGTATGGGAGGGTTTTCTGTGAGGTGAGACATTTTAGCGTTTGAAGAAACCAAACGAAACGAATGGAAAAAGAATAGACGCCCAAGTTAAACGCCCGACACCCAATGTAACACTGGGTGAGCCCTAGCCTCGTCTCATTCCGTAAAACTCCACCATTGAACAACTATCAACATCCCGCACCCCAGGTAATCACACGTTTATCTCGACCAAAAAGACAACGTAAACCCAACAACGCTAAACCCAACCCGAGTCTCGAGCGTCTAAACGTTTACATTGCATTGCGTGGAGGGACAAAGAGGACCCTTTCCACCAGAGGAAGAAAAAAGGTGCACACGATGCTCATGGAACCGCGGCCGAATGAACAATGGCTTTTGTACCCCAGAACCAACCAACCAGACGGAGAAGCAAACAATGTCAACGGAGAATAGAAGAATGAACCCCAAAACCTAAAAAAAACACCCAACAACTTGGAAAAAGAACCCCAAAAACGTCGAGGGAATATGGCGTCACTACAGACGTTCTTTTTTTGTGAATAGACTCTCCCTCGGAGTGAAAAGTACCGGGAATGCAGCGAGGCGAGGGAAGTGAAGGAAAGAAAAGACACGAGGATGAAATGTACGAGGTAGACAAGAAACAAACGAAAAACCAAGAGATAAACTCACCTTGTTCTGCCATTTGAGCTGGGCCTCACTCGAATCCGCAGAGACACAGTAAATGTCATAGTCTACTGCGGTAAACTCGGCATAGATATCGCGGTAGCCGCAGGCTTGAGTTGTGCAGCCGGCTATAGCAAAAAGGGGAAATATATTAGCAGTTTGACACGAAAAGAACCCAGACGAAGGACAGCGAACACGAGAGGAGAAACTCACGAGTATCAGCCTTGGGCACGCAGAACAATACGACTCCCTTTTCGACAGCAAGAGTCGCAACTTGGACTTCTTCGCCTTTTTCGTTCTTTACGGTGACAGAAGGGAGCACATCACCGATTTTGAGACCTTCAGCTGCGTCGGATTTGGCCTGCGCAGAGGAGAAACAGTCAGCACGTATCCAGAACAGAAGCGCCGCATAGCGTCTAAAACCCGAAATACGTAGAGAAAACCGAACCAGCGCAACGTACAATGCACAAAAAACGCACCTTTTTGTTGCTCCCCTCCTCCTTGTGCTCTTCCCCATCAACAACCTCATCTGCAGCTCTCTTCCCATTCTTCTTCCCAGCCGCCCCAGAAGCACTCCTCTTCCTCCCAGCACCAGCACCATCCTCTTCCTTGGTAGGTTTAGAAGGCTGAGAAGAGATCCTCGTAGAGCGTCTAGAAGGCTCTGCAGCAGGTGCAGAAGCCTTATCCTTTTTAGCTCGACTGCCCTTTCTTCCCGGGGCGGTAGTAGTAGGAGATTCGGGTTCAGCCCCTTCGTCTTTGGTACCGGCGTCACTGTTGCCGTTGGCCTCGCCGTTCCCCTCGACATGGGTCGTCGTCGTCGTCGTCTCAGCAGTGGTTTCAGCTGTAGCAGCAGCATCGACGACGGCGGCGGGGGCTTCTACAGCAGCGACGGGAGTTGGGTCTGACATTGAAGAAAAAAAAAGTCGGGAGGAAAGAAAGAAGCGTTCTCTCTGTGTTGGTTTGGGTCCCGAGTTTGGTGTTTACTTTTGAACACAATTGTTACACATATTACATATCCTTATTTTCGGCGTGGGCGGCGAAAAGGCAAAAGGCAAAGCTTGGGTTTATTTGGCTACTTTGTTTGCATTCCAAATTTAATTTGGTTCCGCGGGTCAGGTGGACGTGTCAGGTGGGTTGATCAGATGATCAATTTGTGTCAGATTTGCCACGAGGCGCTGTTTCACAAAGACAATGATATGGCCGCCTGGCGAAATGGCATCGCGTCTGACTACGAATCAGGAGATTGCAGGTTCGACCCCTGCGGTGGTCATATTTCGGCACACCCTCTAATTTTTAATATGTAACGCTTGTTAACTCTCTTCTGATGAAACATGGGTAGTGCCTCTCATCCGAATGTTCACCGTAAAGTCCCTGTCGATTAGTGGTTAAATCATCACGTTGTGGTAAAGTTCCTGTCACGACCTACCGTGAAGCCGGGAGCTCGAATCTCCCCAGGGACAATTTGACACTATCTCTGCACGTCGCTTTTTTTTCCCCTGATTCTCCAAGCATAGTGTGATTTGTACGTTCTGAATATCCAAGTGCGATTTCTTATGAGCACAAGTATCTATACTTGAAGGCCTTCTTACACTACGGACACAAACCCAATTCATTCGTCTCCACTTATATTTAAGAGTGCCCTATAAACCTAGATCTGAAGAATTATACTTCTGATGTAGTAATTGTGAAGCCGGGACAATATAATTTCTGGAGTCTTTTCTTGTCGGGGGGTCTTGTATATAGAGCTGATCGTTCCGATGTTTATATTTTGTTCCATTCAAGCTTATAGACAGAACTATTTATCAACACAAGCTTTATGGATGTCTGCCCCACACGTCCATAATTCAAATTGCCTCAATCTAAATCTTCCTATGCAAATTACAGGTACTAAGTTCTTGGAAAGTTTCTTCACGTATGTTTCTGTCCATTGGTGTTTAAATGGTCACGCTGTAGTCTGTGACTGCACTCCATGTCAACCGCGTACCGGGGGATTGTGATCTCCAGCGTTTTTTCTAGTGGTGATTCAAATCTAAACCAACGATAATATCTCCAAAATACATCTCGTATTTCTAAACTACGTTCTTTGACCAAGGATTCAAGACTTTTATTGTGTTCAAGTCATTTATACTTACTTTGAACTCACGGGCTCAAGTGCGTTGAGACAAGCTTGAAATAAATAAAGTTCATCCTATACAATGAAAGTCCGTCCTACTATGACATATAATCCTCCTAGTACTTGGACGGGAAATATAGGTTGTTGAATTTGAGAACGTAAAAGAAAATTCAGCTGGAATTTAGTCTCAGACCGACGTTGATCAATGCACTATGACACGATGAGCTTGCGTGCGCAGTACCAAGTAGTAGCAAGCGAACATCCGAGTCTGCGCCGCCTCGAGCCATCTTCGCCGTTCTCCCTCGTTCTCCTACGCAATCTAAAAAATTTATTACTAAAAAACCTTGGCAAATTTTCAAAGCGATGTGTATGCTGGCGACGCGAAATTCCAGGGTGTGGTTAGAATTAACGATTGGTATCAACGTTGTATTCCGTCGGACCACTCTACACAGCAATTCAGTCTCACTTGGTGCATTCCGATGGATGGTTGGAAATGCCAAGCTAGTATGTTTGCACACCAACAGAATCGTCAAAGTCTTGGGTCCTCAGCAGCTTGCCACCACGAGTCAAGGTAATTATGTGAATCCGACGGTCACTCGGAGATAGACGCGAAACAAGTCGCAGTAAGCTCGCTACCAGCCTTCTTCAGCGGTATAAAAGGCTTCCCATGATGCTCGACATTCCCAAGCAATCGAGCCCCTCCAACTTGAAGATGATGTTCAAACCACTCTTACTCTCTTTCGGCATTGTGGCTCAGGCCCTAGCCTACTCTGTTCGTCGAGAGGATCAGCATGCTTGGATTGCTCCGGGACCCAACGATCTTCGTGGTCCTTGTCCCGGTCTTAACACGTAAGCCTGGACGCTCTGCATTTCATTTGCAATTTTCTTACTTTTTCTTTTTAAAATATTCTCAGTCTAGCAAACCACGGCTACCTTCCCAGAGACGGGAGAGGTCTGAACGTATCTATCATTTTGGAAGCAGGTTTCAGTAAGTCCGCTTCCGCATCACTTTCTGTCCCGCTGTGGCTAAAGCGCTCTGTTCCCTTTCAAGATGGGTACCACATGCAACCTGAAATCCTCATGTTGGCGGCCAAGGCATCGTTGCTCACCTCAGACGATCCCGTCAGTTTCACACTAGACGATATCAAACTGTAAGTTTTCGCATCGAATTCAATCAAGTCCCCTCTTGCTAATGAACTATTCAAAATAGCCACGGACACATCGAGCACGACGCATCCGTCTCTCGAGCCGACTTTGCCTTGGGAGATAACGCCCGTTTCAACGAAACCATATTTACAACCTTGGCAAACTCAAATCCAGGAGTTGATTTCTACAACACCACATCCGCCGGTCAAGTTCAACAGATGCGTCTGGCAGACTCGCAGGCCACTAATCCTAATCTTACCAACACCGACAAGGAGTTTTTCATTCGGAGTGCAGAATCTGCTTTCTATCTCAGCGTCATGGGAGACCCGCTGACTGGGGTTGCGCCTAAAGAGTAAGTCTAAATCTCAGTTCCACCAAGTTTTATTTTCTTAAAAAGTTTTTTCTTCTAGATTTGTACAGATCTTCTTCCGTGAAGAGCGTCTTCCGATCGCTGAAGGATGGAAACGCTCAGAAACCCCTCTTAACGGAAGCACCGTCGGTCCATTGATTCGCGAAATTGCACAACACTCAAACTGGACTCCCACTGAAGGACAGTGCCATTGGCTGAGGTTGGGTCCCAATGATCCTATCGTGGACTTTTAGATATCCATTCCGAGTCGGGTGATTCTGAGGAATGATCTTGGACTGTGCTTTTAAGTATTAATCTGGACAATCATCTCCTATTTAATTCCATCTTTAATATATGATTAAATATAAACTAATATACATATGTTGAGCCACCAAAAGTTCGATTCCGTAGTATCTATTATTCCGTATCAGTGTTTTTTCAGAAAGAGTCACTTCATCACCTTTCAGGGTGTATATGCTGCAAGATCTTTGGATGAAAAAAGGCTTGAATGAATTGGTTTTTCCCTTCTAAGGTCGGTGGTGCAGTCCAAAGGACCCATTACAGATGCACCCTATACCTCATCCCCTTCCATACGTTCATAAACTACAAGGCTTGCCCGTCGCTGTCGCTCCGGGGACACCTAATGAAGGGCGAGCATCTGTTGCCATGCGGAAGGATACCAATTTCGTTTTTAATCAATTTCAAACAGGAATAAAACAGTCAAATATTTAATTTCTCTCAAAGCCAAACATAGCGCGACAAAGGGAAGCCATAATTTTAAAGATATGAGTTATAGCTTCACGTTGTGGCGTTGTATTTGCCCCCTGCAAAATTGAATGATATATTTTGAAATTCCTTTTCGGTTTGACTCACTGCTAACGTGGTTTTTACACTGTTTCTGTATACTCAAATACATCAATCTAATACTCAAAATTTGTGTACAACACTCTAACATCAGTATTCTATTATTAAACATTATGTCTTCAAATTATGGTTTCCCTTATGGTAGTGTCCTTGGGTATTGCAGAAACAAATGAGCGAACAAATTTCCGATTTCTTTGTTCCGGATCCAATTTCAGGAGCCCAACGACGGCTATTTCCTTGTATTCTGGAAAAAAAAATTACAATTACAGCCCAAGGTCCTACATTATTGTCATAAAACAATCGCAAATATTTGCAACACTTTTTTGTTCATTGCTTTTATTCAAGACATTCTCCAATGGTTTGATTTTTATTGTTGAATAACAGAGCCAGATACCAAACCTATTGTACCAGTATCCTCTGCTTCCGAGTAGTCCTGTTGTTGGTAAGGACTGAGTCGTTGATTCTGAAACGCTGCAACTATAATGATGAAGAGTGGATAAATGGCCTATTATTGTATATCATGAATCATTTGAATATGGCAGATGCGACCTCGACTTACAGATATCATGGGTACAGCTGAAGCAAGAACTTGATATGTCACACTATCCTTACCATTCAGTAACGTCAATACCATGTATACAATCTGCGGCTTTATTGAGTATATTGATCCAAAATTGATAAGAACTTACCAAGAGAATTGCATACACCAACCCAGAATGGATCAGGAGCATTAAGAACTTCCGTACTTTGCATGCAGGAATGTAGGTTTTATCTGTGGTAAAATTTCTCGTATTTCTGTAGTGCCATCTGTAACATTTCCAGGTTAGAGGTGCTTGTGTTCTTCAATTGTATGATTTACATCAGTTTATAGACAATGATTGATGTTGCTGTCAAATTTGTGACAAGCAGTGGAATCATCATTAAGATAAATCTAGTTCTTGGACCATAATTTTTGGGGTTTTGGCTGTAATCTTTAGCGGATAGTCCCATGTCTAAAAAACTTCCAACTATTCGGACATTAGAAACGAACCATGATATTGATTCACTGACTTACTGCATGAGAAAACCATGCATATGCACATCACAAGTTTGAGAAGCCCATTACTCGGGCATAATATCCATGCTCTCCAGATGACAATCCCATCACTAAAAAGATACTAAGAATGATAATGATCAGCTCCACAACAAATAACAAAAAACCGATGCATACATTCAGCCTTTCCAATGCACTCTGCACAAATATCAAATTAAAATGTGTGCGGTTAGGTGGGTCCAGTTGCAAGAGCGAAGAAGGCGGAAGATTGGATATTATGGTAAGAACCAGAGAGGTTGTACTGAGAGACAGCGTGAGGATAGCGACAACAAACAAGCCCATTTGTGCATTTGATAGAGACAGCCTTCCTACCCTATCGAATAATAGCCATGCAGCATGCAAAACATAGGATTGGGGCCTTAAACTCACATAAATATTAATATAGTTGCTATGAACAATGTGCAGTAAACTCCATAAAATAGGCAGCCAACCGCTGTCCCGAATATTCCAAACCTTAGATTGAAGACGTCAAAATTTGAGAGGGGATGTTCCACGGCTCTTGAAGGCATGATTCTCGGAAGACCAGTGTACTCAGCATGCTCAGAGCTTTAAATGACCCTGTGGAAATCTCGGAGAGGCGGTGAATGAACTACGCGCTGATAATCAATATCACAGCGCCACTGCACAGCCAAGGGCGTCCTAATATCAAAGTGGAGGTTTTAATTAGACTATAAAATAAAATTTCCCGTAAAATACTGTTTGCACAAGTCCAAAATTCTTGCGTCCATGATATTGCCTTAGAAACCTCGTTGGCAAAGTTATTGCCTGCTATTCCCTCTTGCTGAGAGGGTAAATCAATCAATCCGTACAGCGGTCAAATTCAATGGTATTTGAATAATACTGATACATAAGATTTGTACTTATTTCCACAGTGATGCCGTCCATTGGAAGATCA